TTACTCAGCCTAGTCTTCCTAGTGAGTTGAGATTTTTTTCTCCAAGGCAGCTTTTGAGTGAGTCTAATATCACCCACTATGTGTTTTCTTTGCCAAACTGTCATAGTTGGTGGAGCTATGTCATGTCTGTAGCCCTGTTCTTAGAGGGCATACACCTGCTCCCTGGAGCTTCCTTGGGCTGGGCTGGTAGTTCCTGGTTACATTCCTATTAGATCTCCTGGAAGGGGGCGTAGAGGTCCATAAACACTCCTGGTAACATTTGCCTCTTGGCCTTATTTGTGTGAAACCTGAGCCTTCAGGATTCAGGCCTTCCAGAGGCACCACTAATTGGAAGGTTCCGCCTTTGAGTTTGATTATTTTAGATTCCACATCTAAGTGAGATCCTGCTGCATTTATCTTCCTGTGTCTGGCTTATTTCAGTTAGCACACTATTCTCCAGATTCATCCTTATTGTTGCAAATGGCAGAATTTTCTTCTATTTTAAAGCTGAATTATATATATATATCACCTTTTTTTATAATCCATTTACATACATTTAGGTTTTCCTATCTTGGCTAATGTGAATAATGCTTCGATGAATATGAGAGTACAGGTATCACTTTAAGATATTGCTTTCACTTCCTTTGTACACACACACACACACACACACACACACACACACAAGTGTGGGATTGTTGGATCACACAGTAGTACTTCTTTTAAATTTTTGAGGAACCTCCATACTGTTTTTCATAGTGGCCATACCATATATTTTCACCAATAGTGTGAAAGGGCTCCCTCTTCCCCACACCCTCACCAACATTTGTCAGTAATTACTTAATGAGCCACAACCAAGCCTTGGGTCCTGTGCCAGGCAGCGGAGCTGCTGTTCTGACTGTGCAAGCATGGCATCTGCCCCCAGAAGACTCAGTCCCAGGTCTATGCACCCCCGTGCATCTTCTGCAGCACTCTATCTCCGTCCTTGGCCTTGGCCTTCTTGCTGTCCCCAAGAGCTTAAAATATTCTGCTCATTTTCCAGTTCCCTCCTTCAGACCACTTATAAAAAATGATAATAAGACTAGTCATAACACCAGTGCTTGGGGAGTCCCCCAGTTCCCACTTCTCCACACAGAAGCGTGTCTTTTCTGTCTCTAACTCGGCTCTTTCTCTATGGCCAAACTGCCCAAAGTCCCACGGAGACTCATTATTTTTAAGTACCTTGTAAATGTGGAACCTTGTCAAAGGTTCTTGGAAAATCTGCATAGCTAAGAGGCACGTGCTGAGCTATGAATCAGGAGACCTGGGTTCTAGTCCTAAATGTCATTGGTTTATCTTGGAATTTGGAGCAAGGTGCAGAACAGCCCCAATCTCCGTTGCTTCATGGGTAAAATGAGAAGGACTATGCTGGCAGTCAACATCATAAAAATTTTACAACCATCAGATGAAACACTGTTATTTAAGAATGCTCTGAAAGGTATAAAACAAGCATATAAGGGATCATAATTTTGAAAATTTACAACAGCCCCTTCCTCATTCACAGGCATGATCCTCTCCCAGAAGAACTCAGCAGCAGACAAGGTCCCTCCGGCACCCCCAGGGCATTGTTTGTTTAACATCATCTACTGTCAATCCTGGAAGGGATTCAGGTTTAGCTGACCAATAGTGTAGTATGTAAACGCCTAAATGCATGAATGCTGAAGTCATTCAGACCCAGGTATGGGTCAAGGCCATGCCATCAATAACTGTGTGACCATGAACAAGTTATTAACCCTCTCTGTGCCTCTCCTGTAAGTGGGGTTATAGTAATGTTTATCTCACAGAGTTATGAGATTTTTTTAAATAAAGTATAATTGGTATACAATATTAAATTAGATTCAGGTGTACAACATAGTGATTCTACATTTTCATAACTTGGGATGTGTTCACCACACTAAGTCTAATAACCATCTATCATCATGCAAAGTTATTACATCACTATTATTATGATGAGATTTAAGTGAGAAGGTAAATGCAAGCAGAATGCTTAACATCGTACCTGGCACTACGGGGTATTAACCACGCTTGTTGCTATTGTTTTTGTAAGACCCCAACCACTGGCAATCGGCCCATCCTACCTGAATTTTATGATTGTCCGTCATTCAGCAAATCCCATTACAAATGCCTTCTATCTGTATTTTGTGTGAGATTCTTTCAGTTTTCTGAAATAAGTAGTAGATGAGGTGGGGTGGGAGGAAAGAGAGACCTATATTTCCAATAACTGGTTTCCTACACAGAATGCGAAAGAGCAGCTATAACTCTATCCTTCCTCCCTGGGGAAGGCCAGCCTGTGAGAACTTGCTCCCTGGTCTATCCCTCTGTCCTGGCTTTTCCTCAGATGTCCACCTGCATCCAGCACATCACCTCATCCTAACAAGCAGGGCAGTTGGAACTAAAATGATAAGGAAGATCGCTCAGGCACTAAATCCAATTTCCCTTGGGGAGCCTGCTCCTGCCAGCGACCAGAGGGGACTGGAGACCAGCCAGGGTGTTCAGTATCACTCTTGTCACTCTCCTGATGCTGCTCCAGAGGTGACTCGCAGCTGGAGGTGAAACCTGGCCGGGCTGGGGGCCAAGGCCATCACCGCACAGTCAGACTTGGGTGGTAATCTCAGTTGGTTCTGCATGAGCTCCCATTTCATTCAGATTAAGTCGGGACCTGTCCAGGAAGATGCCTAGTGGCTGCAGGAGTGGGCATAGGAACAGGAGGGTTATTGGAATTTGAGACATTTTGATTTTCAGAGCTAAACAAATTTAATTCCTTTACTAGTTTTTGGTGGTTGTTTTTTAAATAAGCTTAATGGGAAATTAGCAAAAGAGGAGTTTTAACTTCATTAATGCATTTCTTCACTTTCAGAATCAATATTTGTCAAGCTCAAGTATTTGGGCATCACTATCAGGAATGTCTGTGGAAAGCCTGTGGAATTGTACAGAGCAGAGACAGTGACCTCAGCTTCCTGTCTCAGGTCGCCCACAGGAAGGACCTGTGAAACTCAGCGAGGAACATGTCTCTCACGTCAGAGTTCTCTCCCCAGATTTTATAGCACAGGCCCATTGGTTAGGTCTCATTTTCCTCTATTATCTGTATGTCAGTTAGGATTTTGGATATTTAAAAAGCCATTTTATTGCTTTAACATATCTTGAGTAATAAGAGAGTCTTGACATCGGACTTGGGGGTTATTTTGATTCAGTGGCTTAGGATCATGACAAAATTTTTTTTTTCTATCTCTGCTCCTGGCCTTCCCTGGTTGCAGCTCCCCTCCTTACCACAAAAGGGCTGCCTGCAGTTCTTTGAGCTCCTGTTTCTCTGACCCTGTTGAGGGTTAGGAGAAAACCTCTCTTACCCAATCATGAAACACAATCCAAATTTGCTCTGATTGCACATGTTGATTGGCTGGGCCTGCTTTTTCTCCATCACTGTGATAAGAGAGTGAGATTACATGGACTTATTTATGACCATCAAGGACCTCCAGTAAGCAAGGAATGGGTCCAATCCCACCCCAAAGGTGAGAAAGGGTAGAATTGGTGCTGGTAGGGTCATGTAAGACATGACAAATCAGCACTAAAGTCATAAGAGGTTATGTCAATAAGGAATTATATGAAAAACCATCTCCCTGATGTATAGGAAGGGTTTAAAAATAATGCTTAAAAGTCAAACAAACAAACAAACAAACAAAAAACAAAAAAACAGAGGTTGGGACAAACCTAAAATCACACACATGTAACACAAAGTACCCTGGTGTCAGAGTTCAGTGAATGAAGACTTGATGGATTAGTTGTCATTAATGTGCTGTCCCTGCTATAATCCAGTTCCTCTGAATAACTCTCTTGTTCTCCTTCATCTTATGAGAGGTTAAAAAGTGAATACTGAAAATTAAAAATAAGAGTGCATATAGTGTGGATATTTGGAATATTTTTTTTTCTTTAGATATTTTGTTTTGTTTTGTTTTACAGGGTCTTATATGGTATCTAATCAAGTTGGGGGGTTTCCTAGCTCTTGCCTCTCCTGTCTCATCCTTTTCAAATTGTTGACAGTGTTTGGTCCTGATTTATGTGGGTGGCACTCTCAGCACTGGGCAGTGATCATATGAAATCTATCAGCTCAGACGTGTGATAATTCTGATTCTATCAATAGAATGGGAGCCAACTTTTCTAGATCTGTCTGCCATCATGGGAGTGGGGTGGGCAAAACTATTTCCCAGCTGTCCCCATGTTGTCCAAGAAGTTCCAGGAAGGACCTGTGGACAGGCCAGGGACAATGTATCTGCTAAGTGCTCTTGTTCTCGGAAATCTGAGGATGACTCATGCCCGACGCACATTTTCCTGGAATGTTCACACCCCTTTCCCTGGAGACACAAGTAGCACCTCTAGGAGGTTTCAGGGCCCTCCATCTACACCAAAATCTGAGACATTGAGCTACTGGTTTCAATGGCCAAACTGAGCCCTCTCAGTATAAAACTTCGGGGTGCTCCTTATCTGGTTCCCTCCAAGGTACAACAGGGATAGCTGGGTACCAATTTCTAAGAATCAGCTCACGTTGTTACACCCACATGTTTTCTGTTTGCAAATGTGGCAAATACTATTGCCTTTCTGTTACAGAATGACACTCTGCTCTGAGGCAGCTTCAGTTAACCATGGTAACCCAATCCCAGACCCGCTCCCCACTGCCAGCACCATCCTCTTCTCCAAAACTTACCTGAGACACAGGGAACCAGAGAAAAGAACTCCGGTTCTTGGTGAAGCGCATTGTGGTCTCCCCGTTCCATCTTTTTTTTTTTTTTTTTTTTTTTTTTTTTTTTGCCATTCCCAGCATGTGGCTGTGGTGAGCAGTGTCTCTCCTGCTCTTTTGGGCCTGGCCTTGGGGCGCTGTGGAGACAGAGCTCACTGCCTGTGGCCGGGCTGCCGGAGGATCTTGAGGCTGAAGCTCCACTGGGAGCAGGGCAGGATCTGAACTCACCTCTGCTCTCCTCCCTCTCTCACCGCAGATCCGGGTGGATGGACCCAGGGGCAATGCCCTCCAGTATGAGACAGTGCAAGTGGTGGACCCAGGCCCTGTGCTCCGGGACATGGACTTCTCCAAGGACCACGAGCAGCTCTACATCATGTCAGAAAGGCAGGTAAGGCTCTCTGAGATCTGTTAGACATTTATCTTGTGGCTAAGTACTAGCCTGTGGTTCAGCAGAAAGCTACAGGACGCCGGTTGCAGGGAGGGGATTTGATGTATGGCTCAGTGTGTATTCTTTCGGTTATGCTGCTTGAGGGCTGAGGTTGAGTGCACTGAAATAGGGAACAAAATATTTCAAATATCAAAATATCTGCGAGTCTAGGCCAAACCCACTAACCTCAGAATGATGGTGTGTATAGGTTCCAGATCAGCATTTACTCTCTTCTGAAGACACTTGGTGCAGATGCCCTAGTTTTTTGTCCATATTTCTCTACACACTGTATACTCTCCTACCAAGGTCACCTTCCTAATCTCTGGAGGTCTATGGTAGGCAAGGATTTGTTTCCTAAAATCCTAGTTGAGGGAACATCATGGAAGAGCCAGATGGAAGGAGATTCAGAAAATAAGGACATGTCGCATGGGACTCTCACATGGGACCTCCAGCAACTGCCATAAGGCCAAGCCAAGAAAAACAGATATGGTGCAAGGACTACTGTTAGCTCATACCAAAACTCTTATAAGTCTACAGCGGGCAAAGGAACACATTTTGCCTAGGAAATTCCATATATTTAAGAGTATTTCCTGGAGTGCCCTAAGTCACTGTCCAGAGTGTTTTATTCCACAAGACACACCCACCCCAAGTGTGGATTGACACTGCCATACCCTGACCCTGTTACTGCTATGTTGGGTGAGTCATTCCTAGGAGCTATCCTGTCAGCCCATGAATATGTATGTGGCAAAGGCAGCAGCCATGAAGGGTAGGTTCTCCTCTCTTATTCATCTTCATTAGTGAGGCCTGAACTCCCCAGAGGACTTTGCTCACAGAGTCAGGATTGTTTCTCCTGTCCCCTCTCTGCATAGTGAGGGAGATAAATACCACATTATGCCACCCACAGGGCTTGTGCATTATGCCTTGGCAGCCCACAGCAGCTCCACCCTCCCCAAGAGCTTGATGACATCTTCTCTTAGTGTGGGACTCCCCTTCCAGCCACACTGGAACCCATTGTGGTGCCTGGGTTGAGGCTGCCATGCCTTGGACATGGCCTGACATAGTACCGAGAGGGAAGCATTTTACCCAGGAATCAGGACTGGGTATGAGGCTGCTCCTTTGCTTTCAATTCTTGCTGCCTTCTAGTGGGGCTCCCACTCCCCACTTACCACTCCCTGCCTACCCCCAAGTCCCTAGACCCTGAGATAAGCAGTTTTCCTGGATGAAGGAATCCTTTGGAGAAAACCTAAGACCTCCATAAGGCATTGAATATTTCAGGATTTCTTGCCTGACCTGAAAGCCAGGATTTCTGAACTTGGGACTTAAAACGTGGAAGGAAGGGCTTCCAAAAATGGAAACTATAAGCTATGTGGGGTCACTTCTGATAACTGAGTTGGGATTCTGAGCTTCTTGTCCTTGGTCATTCTGCTTCCTTGAGAGTGTGGTAAGTGGTTAGAACCCATAGGGCTGGGTGGTGAGGCATGTTGGGAGATCTTGACTGTTGGGAAGGAAAGGAAGGCAGGAATGGATAGGACCAGGGCATTCATCCATTCTGGGGCTGCTCCTTGCAGAGGTGGAGGGCTGTCTGCCACTCAAATCACAGTCCCAAGGCTCTCAACTCTTGGGCCAACACTGGTATACAGTGGGTTTGCAGATTCATTGTAGGGGGTAGTAAGGCAGCACAATGGCTAAGTGCACATGTCTTGGTGTCAGAATACCTGAGCATGCACCTTGGCTCCACCACTTACTAAGCATGATCTCAGGTAGTTCCTTAAACTCTTAAGGACTAAGAATCTCAACTATCGCATGGAATGACAATAATATCTGATAGTTTTATTCCAAAGATCAAATGATATAATGCTTGTAATAAGCATCACCACACCTGGAACAGGGTACGGGCTTGCTAAGGGGAAGTTCTCATTCTTATGGTATTGCAATAGGAGAGTCTGGGCGTTAGCCGTATTGGGAGTCAGGCAGGTGGTGACATCAAGATTCTGGGTGATTTATCAGGTAGGAAGTGCAGGAATCCAGGTCCAGGCCAAGGTGGGCAGGAAGCAGAAATCTGGTCCCAGGAAGAGCAGATCAAGAACCCACAGCCTACTTTATTGACTGGACATACCAAGTAGAGCTCAGTCCAAGAGCACCTTGGTAAAGGTACTGGAGATGTAACAGCAAGCTCAGGGAGTCAGGACTGATTCCAGCCTCCGTGGCTGTGGGTGGGTGCCAGTCATAATGGGTCAAACACTTGTGGAGTTGAGTCTGCAGACTAAGGGTAGATGCTCAGCAATGATGTTTGCTCTGCCTGGAACTCGCTTCCCTTTCTCATTTGGCTAATTTTTCCTTGTCCTTCAAAATGTAGCTCAGTTGTCACATTTTCCAGTGAGTGATTCCTGATCTGTGGTTAGACACCTCTATGTGCTATCTTCCTATTCTGCGCTGTGATGATGACTTCCTTGTTTTTCTCCCCTAGGCAACTATATAGAACAACCCTATATTCTCTTTGTCTGCCTAAACCAGTGGTTGGCAAACCGTGGCTCATGAGCCACATGCAGCTCTTTGGCCCCTTAAATGTTCTAACACCACTTCTTCTAAATAGACTTACGCAGGCCAAAAACTGATTTTTGCTCACGGACTATGAAGTTTCAATCACACTCTATGTGTGTGCCCACATATGGTATTTTGTGGAAGAGCCACACTCCAGGGGCCAAAGAGCCACATGTGGCTTGCGAGCCATGGTTTGCCGACCACTGGCCTAATCCTTATCTAATAGGCTCTTGATAAATGTTTGATGAATGAATAACTGAGCAAATGAATCTACAATATCTCGTTGAACCATAATTGGAAAAGAGTGAGACTGACACAAATTATTTATTGCTTATCTTAATTTACAAAGTTTGAACTACATAATTAAAAAACTACACTTCAGATAAAGAAAACATCCCAAACTTGAGTCATCTGTTTATTACTGCCAAGACTTTTGCCTTATCCTGAATTATTTTTTGCTTTGTATTTTTATTTACATAAACTTACTATTTAAACATAAACAATCTACTTTAACCATCCCTTAAACAGTAATATTATAGATCTGACATGCCAGTCATATAGTAAAGTACAGCTAACTGTGGTATTGTGATATATGAGAAGTATATATTTGGTCTTCATCCCCATTTCTAGCACAGTGCTCCCAAAACCTTTGGAATTTCTTAAATGACAAGCAATAGGAACATCTTTTGTTATAATATCTGGTATCTATTCCTTCAGAGCCATAAAGGTAAAATGGGTGTGTTGTTATTTCTGAGGAGCTTCTTCTCAACCTCAACTGAGTTTGTGTGAGTGAGGTGATTTTTAGAAAGCCCTTAAAGATGAGGGCTGGTTGCCAAGGGAGCCAATCATGTGATTAGAGGGTTGGGAGGAGTAAGTACTGTGGAACTAAGAGAGGTAGAGAATAGAGTATATGTGTGTGTGTGTGTGTGTGTGTGTGTGTGTGTCTGTTGCTGTCGGTGCATCTTCAACAGCCCTTTTCTCACTTTGCACGAGTCTGTGTGTTTGTATGTAGTGCATATTTACTACAGCTCTGGGACTCCCGAGGGTGAAACACTACAATTAAAACCTGTCAACCCAAAGGGAGGGGAGTGAGAGGAAACATTAGCTAATAGATAAGTGGGGAGCTGAAGCAGCCAAGCTGGGGTTGTCCTCAGCTGCCCTGGAGTGACCACCCCTTCCCAGGAGAGAAGCTGTCCCTCACACACAAAAAAGCTCTTCTTTGATAGGCCCCAGAACAAGTGGCAAATTCTCAGTCAAGTTCAGCCTCTCCGCCATCTCACACACCAGCTTTCTCCTGCCTGAAAGCCAGGGGTCCCGAGCACGTGTTTCTGCTTGTGATACACACTTTTAGTCATGCCTGGCCCAAAGCTGACTTTCATGGTCTTCTTTGTTTTACTGACTCTGGTTGACAGTGGGTCTGCTGCCAGGTGCCTGGAGACACTCACAGCTGGTCCTCACGAGCTGATGGCACTCAAGTTCTAGCTGTGACCCAGGACCGAGATGCCTGCAGGGGCTGAGGAGGTGGGTCTGTGGGCAGGGCCTGGTGGGCAGACCTTCTTGGCTCCTTCTGATGCGGTTGTTCCAGGGTCCTGAAGGTGCATGACCCACTGTGGGTTCTTGACTTCACACAGGAAAGACTTTAAATACAAGGCAGCATAGAGTTTAAAATGAAAGAGAGTTTATTAGTGAAGGAGTGGGAGGGAGAGAAGGCTACTTCATAGTCAGAGCAGCCCCTCCCTAGTGAGATTTGCTTCTTCTATTGAGACACGTTTAATCGAGGGGTAGGGCATTCAATAAGGGGAGAAATTTTCAGGATCTTTCTGAGAAAGGAGTGGGAACTTCTCAGAAGAGCACAGTTGGCCATTTGTGTCCTTATATCAGCTTTCTGTTTCCAATCATGGCAGCAGGGGTGCATTGTTTAGAATGCTAATGTATTACAGGTTGGATCAAGCTGATCTTTGGGTTCTAAACCATAAATACATCTTACTATCTCCTTGATAGTCCTTATAGCTCATATCAATTACAGCCTTTTCACTGAATACCCTATCTCACTTCCAGCATAATCCAGTAGTGAAGAAGGGAGGGTCATCTGGCTTTATAATGGACTAGGGGCCCAGTGCACAAACTCATGCACCTTGAAAGGAATGGTGGTCTGTGAGCCTATGGTGGGTACAGGGGTGGGTCTTAACCTATCCTCTGTGTCCCTGCCCAGCTCCTCCTGCCAAAGCCCCTGGTCCCATGTTTTCTGGCAGCCCCACTTCTGCTGCTATTAATCCCATGCACTGGCAACACAGAGCAATTGGGGCCGGCACCTGAAGCAGGTGCGAGCAGGGCTGGCACTGTCAGTGGGGGCAATTGGGGGCTACTGCCCCAATTGCCCCTCAGGAGCAGGGGGGAGTGGAGAAGCAGGTGCAATCAGG